CCTCCGCAGGTCCCCAGAGGGGATGGAGGGAGAGCAGGGCCTGACCTGAGCCTGGGGTTGGCTGCCGTGGGAAGGAGGGTGCGATTCCTCCATGGGCTCCGAGGCCCCCTCCCGCCTCCTCCCTGCTGCCCGAGAACTTCCCGCCTGACCTCTCCCTTCCTCTCCTCTCCTCACGGCCTCACAGCTGGATCCCAGGTACTGGGTCGCTCTGACTCTCCTCCCAGATACTTGGCCTGGTTATTGCCAGGATCTGGCTTGGCCAGAGGGCATCTAACCACAAACGCCGGCCCTCGTGAGGGTTGCCCTCTCCAGGTGACTTACCTGTATCGTGTGTGGTCCTCCCAGTCCCCAGCTGTTCCTGTGGTCTGAGACAATCCCATGCTGGGGTCGGGCAGTGCACGCAGCCTGTCTGCTACCTGCCTGTGCCAGAGTGAAGCCTAGAGCTGACCCAGGACCTCAGCATCGCAGGGGGCATTGCAGCCTGGGGTAGCATGGGCCAGGGACAGTGGGGCAGTCCACGAGGCTGATGGACCAGCAGCAGCCGAGCGCCTCACTGCACGTGAGCGGCAGGAAAAGTGTCCCTGTCACTCAGCTGGTCCCAGGCAGCAGGCCTTCGGAATCCATTTGGCCAGGAGAACACAGTCCTGCAAGGGCCGAGGCCATGTCCTCCTGTGCCTGGTCACTCCCGGGGGTCTGTGCCACCCTTCTGTTTGAAGCCATCACAATGAGCGAGCTGTCATCCTGAGAGCTCAGTGACTTGCCCGACAGAGGACTTCCCTGGTGCAGCGAAGTCGATCCCAGAGCAGCACCGAGGCTGCCTGCTAGACTGGGCCAGACCCGGGAAGCCCGTGGGTCCAACCCCTCCTTCGCCAGGGTGACCACTGCCCGAGTAGGGCTGGGGGTGGCGCCCTACTCCTAGAAAGGCCCTTGCTTCTCCTGCTGCCTCTGCTGAGCCTGCTTGTCCCGTCCGTCCTCAGGAGAGACTTCCGGTACTTGGCCCCTTTGCTTGGTGTCTCCTGGTTCTCATCTGCAGTGGAGAAGTTGGTAAGTGGTGTTGCCACTGTCCTCTTCAGGGGCCATGAGGCGATGGCGGCGTGCAGAGTCGCCCTCGCATCCCCTTTCTAAACGGGCCCGTCTTTGCCCTCCCACTATGGAGGTCCACGTCTCCTGGGGCCCCATGACGCTGGTACCAGGCAGCTGCCCGGGTTCCCGGGGCGTGTGAGTGGCTCCGCGTCCACCCACCTGCGTCACAGTGGTGGGAGGGGCACGGGCAGCCCTCACTTTGAACATAACGCTTTCCTGACCACGTGGCTGCAAAGGGAATGGGTGAGCATCGACTTGAATTTCCTTTCCTTTTGGTTTTACTGAGGCAGAATTCACCATCCCAAAATGGTCCTTCACCAATGACAAAATTCACCGGTTTTCCAAGTGAAAAGTCCAGAGCAATTATTGCATTTACAAGGTGATACAACCACCACCTCTTTCTACTTCCAGGATTCTTTCCTCACCCCAAAGGGAAACCCTGAACCGTTAGTCCTCCCATCACCCTCCGCTCAGGCCCTGGAAACCTCTCGTCCGTGTTGTCTGACGGGCCTGCCAGTCCTGGGTACTTCACATGAACGGAGTCCTAGACTGTGTAACCTCTCGTGTCTGGCTCCTCTCAGTTGCGTCACATATGTTGTAGCATGTTTCAGTACCTCCTTTGTGTTCATGGGCGAAAGATGTCCTGTTTTCTGACTCGACCGCCTTCGGTGCACGCGTCCGACTGTGAAGGTCCCCGCGTGGCCTCTGCCTCTCGGCTGCTGTGTGTAACATGCTCCCGAACGTGCCCGGCAGGGCTGTTCTGACGGCCAGCTTTCAGTTCCTTTAGGTGTAGATCTAGGAGCCAGCTGCCTGGCTGCAGG